TGACACTTTCACTACTGATTTCAAAATATTCTTGTTTTATGAGGCGCCTTCTATCAAACTTGCATTTGTGTAGCTGGAGCGTCAGTCGAGGAAGCTGTTCTTGTGGAAGATCGGGGTTCATGACCAGAAGGAGCGGGTGTTCGAGATGAGGCGCTGGAACGAGGCACTGGTGACCAACATGCTGCCAGAGCATGTGGCCAAACACTTTCTGGGCACTAAAATGAGAGATGAGGTACAAGTCAAGTGCAAGTTTATTTCCATAGCACATTTAAAACAACAATATAGCAAAGTAGTTAATCAAAGTGTAACTCATCCCTATGATAACATTAAAAACAATAAAAAGTTGAAAAAACAAATAACTATGACAAACTGCTACACAGAATATGTGTTGAAGATTACAAGGTTCCTTGCAACTGAATGTGTGTAAGAATCTAATAAATCAATGGCATGATGGATCTGAGTTGGTTTGCTTCCAACAAAATTAACAGATCAGTTTAATAGAAATAAATTAAAGTATTTTTTTAATGTATGCATCCTGCAATGCATCCAAACCATTTGGGAATATAACATGTTTGTTTTTACCTACGTTGCCATCTTGTGGTTTCTTTCATAATTACATATTTAATCTTCTGAAATATAAAAATACGCATTATCACTAAAGTCAGCACAAACTACCTTAATGTAATTATTTTGTTGCAGGAGCTGTACAGTCAGTCTTATGATGAAATTGGTGTGATGTTTGCCTCCATTCCAAACTTTTCTGATTTCTACACTGAAGAGGGCATCAACAACGGAGGCATCGAGTGTCTCAGGATCCTCAATGAGATCATTTCAGATTTTGACAGTGTGAGTTGTGATGTCCTATCATAATGGACATGAATCATCTGTTTGCATTTTTTTTTTTACCGGTTGCAAAAAAGTTTGCACAGGTTGGAATTTACAGTGGATTTCTAGTCATTCGCAAAGGGTCAAAACTGTACATGCTCAAGTTCAAGAGAAACCATATACATGTTGGTGATGAAAAATGTCCTGGCAAAATTTTTGCATAGGTTTTTGACAATCACATTTTAGAAATACAGACTAAAATATCCTATTTAGCACCATAATCTCTTATGAAAAGGCTTTGTGGATAAATATTAGAGTCGAGTCACATCGAAATAATATGCGGATTGTCAAGCAATCTGGTGAGAGTAACATCAGATTGCTGATGTTACTCTCAGCAATATGGTTCATATTTCTGTCAATGTTACTGGTGCATTTAATATGTTTTTTTAGTAATATAAAATAATAAAATCAGAGGACCTTTAAACTATGCAACCTCACCTTATATCAACCAATAACTGGATAAAACTTTGACACAACTGAGTGTTGAGCAAGACAATAATACCACAGGATTAATATTAAGCTTATTGACTGGCCCCTGACCTAAAACTTATGGATTATGCTTAAGCAACAAGTCCATGCCATGAAGCCAAACAATTCAAATGACTACTACCATTTATTCTAAGAAGAGAGGTCAAATGTCCAGATTTAAGTATTTCACAGCCTTGGAGATGGCTACAGGCAGATTCTCTGGAATGTGTAGTGAGATATTTCACCAAATATCTCACATGTGTTTATTTAGATATCCTGGATTATGGTACACCCTATCCCACATATTTAAACATCATTTACGTTGTGTGGTCCTTTCACCACGGAAAAAGAAGGCTTTTGAAATGCACTATCAAAAACCTTGAATTCAATCATGTGATCAGAACTATATTAAAGATGTTTTTGTGCCCTGCAACAACAATGCTAAAGGGGAATAGTCAATGGATGAGGGAACAGATGGATAGATAAATGGGTGAGTGGATAGATTGATTGTTGTTTTTGTAACACCTAAATTAAGAATAGCAAATACCTCTTTTGCTCACCAGTTATTGGACAGAGATGAGTTCAGGTGTATCACAAAGATCAAGACAATAGGAAGCACATACATGGCTGCCTCTGGACTAACGCCCGAAAGCAACACCAATGGATATGGCAGCCGAAAGGTGTGATCCTATCTTGTGTCATCTACTTTAATTTGTGCCACACAAAGTGATGTTAACCCAACAAAGTTGCATTCTGTTGTTTCACAGCCAGAAGACCAGTCCCTCATTGAACGCTGGCAGCACCTGTCTGAGCTGGCAGATTTTGCCCTGGCCATGAAGGTCACTCTTGATAACCTCAACAAGCAATCCTTCAACAACTTCATGCTACGGATTGGTCAGTGAACCTGGAAGAAGGTGCCTCTTCTTTGAGTCTTTGCACACATTAATATCTTTTCATGTCGATTCCTTCAGGTTTGAATAAAGGAGCTGTTCTGGCTGGAGTAATTGGAGCCCGTAAACCTCACTATGACATCTGGGGTAACACAGTCAATGTGGCCAGTAGAATGGAGTCAACTGGAGTGATGGGCAACATACAGGTAGCATAAACATAGACAGACATCTTTAAATGTTGAATGGGACAAATGATTTTCAAATTATCTTTGCCACCCACCATTTCCCTAACCTTTCACCATCACTTCTAAATGTCAAATATGAACAATCCAAACAGTAGAGAGCTAAATCTAAACCCTTAAATAGTTCTTTATGTATGGGTAATCACAATCTGAATACCATTTTGAAGGAAACACTGGTAAGTTTTTTTCTGGTTTTATAAACTCTCATAGTCATACATAGTGACAACTGAATAAACCAATGCAACATTCTCTAAGTTTGAAAGTTTTAGGTTCTCAGAATAGCATTCATGTAAATATCTGTCCTGTTTTGCCATCAGGTGGTGGAGGACTGCTATGACATCCTGAAGGAATATGGCTTCCGCTTCATTCGAAGAGGGCCCATATTTGTCAAGGGAAAAGGAGAGCTGCTTACCTTTTTCATGAAAGGGAAAGACAAGTGTAGCGGCAAAGCAGGTCCAAGAACAACTGCTCTTCCGCACCAAGTAGAGGACCTTTCTTGACTTTTTTCACCTGAATATTTCAATGAACATGCAAATCGATTTAAGGGCAATGGTAGCTTTGCTCCACTTTTCTTGTACACAGTTTTATTTCCAACATATTTTTCTAAACTCTGCCACTTAGTTTAGCAGCAAAAAGGTACAGAAACCAATAAATTCAATTGCCAGCACACAATGATCATGACTATTAGGAAACTGCATTAAATTTTTGCAAAGTAATGCACTAGGTCCCACACTTATGACATCAGAACAAACAAACCTGTGGTCATTTCTAAATAGTGCCAAGAAACATAGGTGACGTTCTCAAATAAAAGAAACAGAATAAAAGAAAAGTGCCTCATTACTATTTTTTTATTTGTTGATGTCATTGTACTCCATATTTAAGTAAAACACAGAGATAACTAAGAATGCCACCGGAGTCAGAATGTAAATCTATGTCTATAATTCCATGGATGTATGTAATAAACATGTAACATACTTTGTTTTACCTTGTGGCTAATAACATTGCATTTACACTTTTAATAAATTATATTTAGTCTGTGTGTTTCGAATTATTTTACAATGTTTTGAATGTTCGGAATGTTATGCCAATATAAGTGACATCCTAGTCAATGAAAACTACTTATTAAACTGGAATGATTGCTTTGTTTACTGACATTATTCATATTTAGAGGGTTTTTTTCTTTTAAATTGAAATGTTCAGAATCAAAACCCCTTTGAGGTGGATAAATATATATATACACCAATAAATAAAATTTATTGGTGATAAATTCTATATTTATTGAGGCAATAAATATAAAATAGTGACTCCTCCAGACTGTTTCACACCAAACCTCTTAACTGATACTGACTCACATCTGACAGCATCAGAGCTGTCTGATACTGTTTTCATTACTTAGCCAAGGCATGATGTTTAAACACCACACAGTCTGTATAGCAGGACAACAGTCTTTATCTCATCTAAACTATACGTGCTCAGCCACTGTATTCAAAATAGAGAAAAGAAAAGGTTAAGTGTCAGAGTCATGTTAATGATTCAAACCCTAGTAGATTCTGGCTAACTGGTTAGTTGGGCATAATACCTCATGTTGCAGTTGTCAGAGTAGCCTGCACAATTATTATGTGGAGGAACTGAATCCCAAATGCCATCTAAAATTGAAAAGTTGATCATATCTCCAATGCAGATTTGTATTAGTTTCTCAGCATAATTTGCTAATAATAAAGGAGATTATAACTTTTTTTTATGATTGTTGTGAGGTAAGAAACAGCAGTCATGTTTGTGGCCAGTTTATCTACCACATTGACGAGACGGGCCTGAATGAAGTGTCTAAGCTGTAAACATCTGAAACAGAGTATTTGGGAATGTGGTATGTCTGCTCAATTATGCATAGTTAAAGTGAGATGATTGCTATTCCTTCAGAACATTATGTTAACATGTCACTCTTGTAATGAATTTAGGCATTTGCACACTATAATTTTGTTGGTACTGGCTAATGAATATAACAGACACACAGAAAGATGCAAACTGCAAAGAAACTGTCAGCAAAGAATAGCTTTTGGAGTTATGTTTAATAATTTCTCAGTCACTTTGATGATAAAATACAAATTGGTTCTCAGTATTAAATGCTTTAAAGACATTTTGGAACTAAACGTTAACGTTAGATTATTTAAATTAGTTTTTCTGCAGTTTAAGCACAATTAACTCATTTCAACACATTATTGTAATTTGTCAGTTCGCTGCTTAAAAAGATTTGTGTAAAATCTGCAAAATATATATATATTAGTTTTAAAATACATATGACATAAAAACAACATTTATACACTTTTGTATCTTCTGTTTAGTCAAATATTCTGTTATTATGCTAACTATGTTCCCATGCACCACCCATGGATTATATTCTACTCGGAAGCCTGCTAGTGTAGGAATTTCCGGCTACGTCAGGGCGTCAGGACTCCATTAGAGTTGCAGCTGTTTTGAGAGAAACATCAACAAAACGAGCTGACATTAGGCTCTGAGTCTGGCAACAAGGCCTTCAATCTGGAAGCGTAACCTACATTTCCCACCCGGAGCTTCGCCGGTTTCTAACCACGGCCGCTCTCGGTGAGGAAACTCTGGCCTCCGCTTCCTCCTCCTCCGACTCGGACACCGGCGGAGCGTCGCCGCCCCCGCGGAAGAAACACCGAGCCTCGGCGGCGGAGGGAGCAGGAGAGCCCGGGGCTTCAGCCGTTGTAACAGGCCTCTCTGGAGTTGTCCTAGGACTTGCCGCACACTCTCAAACCACCTCTACCATCCACTTTAATCGAAGTGTTGTTAACAACTTTAGCAACAGCATGCAGTCAAACGGGGCAGGACAGGGACAAGAATCCTCTGAACTTCCCTGCCTGAACAGCGCACAAAACGGGGAGTCATCATCCTCGGCCGGTGGAACCCACTCAAACGGGCTCCTGTCCAACGCAGACAACGGTAACGGCGTCGGTACCAGTAACGGGTCTTCGGTTGGACCCTGTTCGGGGACTTCGGCTCCCTCCACGGCCTCGGGTTCGGAGGTGGGCTCGTTGAAAAAGAAGAAACGGCTTTCGCAGACGGAGGAAGATGTCATACGATTAATAGGACAACATCTCCACGGACTGGGGCTGAAGTAAGTTTATCCAGTGTGTCAGTGGTACAAAAACTTCAGCAGACATCAAATGTGAGCGGTGAACATTTCAAGTATAATCGGCATCACTGTTTTTTCTTGTGATAGTGCAGTTGCTAAAAGCGCTATTAGAGCGCTTGACACACAAACATGGGGGGATGGGGCAGTAAGTTAGCCTGCGAGCTCGGCAGTTGGTAGGAAGAAGGGGTCCATCTTGCACAATAACAGTTAGCTTTAAAGCTAATAGCATTTGGCTGCGCCGAGGTGCTGTGTGCCCTGACATCAGATATTTAACACAACATAAAACACAAGCTACAGTTTAACAGCTCATCGCGTGCAACGCAACACGAAGCACGTTTTTGAAATTGGGACATGATGTACTGTCAACATATATGGATTTCGCACTGGATAAAAGCATTACATCATCCAATGTTGGCATCGTTTATTCACACCAAACAAGGCTCAACTTTTTAGTACGATCCATTCACGACACCTCAACATGAGGTGTTTTATTTGCCTTAAAGGGGATGTTGTTGTAGCTTCTTAATGAGGTGCTAAAGCAGGATTATCGAGTTTGTTGTGTACCTGTTTGCGGTTCAAAGGCTGTTGCGCAAAAAAAAAAAAAAAAAAATTGCGGAGAAATTTTAGGGTTAATGTATAGATTGTTAAGCCAGCACGATTCGAGGTTTTTGTATATTGCTTTTGCTCGGCTGTAAAATATGTGTATATTTGTTTGTTTAACCTCCGGTGCAATAGAAATAACAGTGTAATGTGTAAAGGCGCCGTAATAACAAGGCAGCATCTGGTTATTATTCCTCGTCTTTTCCAACTCAGCGTTTCTTTATATCCGTCATTTTGTGGAGCTTTGTAGATTTTGATATTTGTTCCCCCCCCCCACCCCCCCTGTCGTTTTCATACGGCTGTCTCCTGCAGATTATGCCTCTCCAGCATTAATGCCCCAATTCCCGTGTCTCATCGTCACAGATATTTGTCAACAGTCAGCCAGAACCTGTGACATGCATTTTTATTGAGGGCATGTGTTTGTTTGAAGACGGCACTCGGGCATTTGTTCCTGAAATGAGCAGAATCAGATGGTTTTCATGGCGGCTGAGGAATGCGCTCTCTACCAGCTGTTTTAGATGGAAACGCTTTGCTTGAATCTAATTATAGCCACGATGGGGGTTTCAGGATATGCGTGTGTGTGTGTGTGTGTGTGTGTGTGTGTGTGTGTGTGTGTGTGTGTGTGTGTGTGTGTGTGCACTCATCGTTTTCAAAGTGACTGTTGTATATAAGCTTAAACCTGCGCTGATCTGCGCTGTCCAGCTGAGAAAGTAAAAGCAGCCATTACAAGGTTTTTATAAAAGACAGCCTTAACGTTGGAGGTAGGTGCCAGGGTAGGAAGGGGGGCAGAGGGGGATACATGGCATCGCCTGGTATGAAACAGAGCCCCTATATTTCAGCAGGGGAAATACAGGAGAAGTCGGTATTGCAGTCAGCTGGATGAGAGGCTCAACACAAAGCTGCTGCGCCACTTCATTGATACCTGAGAATGATGTCATCATGCTGAAAGGTGTCTGCCCCCCTCCAACACCTCCTTCCCCCGCCACCTCGTTTTCATTATCTTGTGCTCGCATCTCGGCAGGCGCATTTATGGTCTCCTTAGCTGGGAGATGCTGTTTGGACAGATGGTAATGGTTCATGGTTGACAAGCTGAGAGGGTGTGATGTCAACTGGAGAGAAAGCTCACCCCATGTTACTGAACCTCCTACTCTCCACACATAATGCTCCGGTCATGACACAAGTGCTCTGTGTTGGTTTCCCTCAGATATAGGGAGCTATAAAATTTATGTCACCAGGTAGAGTTGACGATGCTCCCACTGCGTTAAAGTGTTCTCACAGACCACCATGTCTCTGATTTTAACCCTCTCAGTTGCATTTTGTTGCAAAAAGAAATGCGACGATGAAAATGAATAGCTCCGATATGTCACTTCATATAATCATGTTCTGAAATTTCGTCATCCTTCTGACTGAGCTCACAGTTCTGATTACCCACTCACTGCTGACGCTGAGATGCCACCTTCATGCTTCATTTCAAAGTCATCCATCCCCTACTTTTCTTCCTTTTTTTTACTGTCTTCTGTCTATACATCAGCATAACTTTGTCTGCTTCTCCTCCAACCCCCCAACCCTCCCCTGTGTCTGTGTGTGTGTGTGTGTGTGTGTGTGTGTGTGTCTGCAGTCAGACGGTGGACCTGCTGATGCAGGAATCAGGCTGCAGACTGGAGCACCCTTCAGCGTCCAAATTCCGCAACCACGTCATGGAGGGGGAGTGGGACAAGGTTAGTTTGGCTGGATATAATTGATGAGTTAAGGTCTGATAAACATGGAATATGGAGATATTCTTTGAATCCGTTGTGCTATTCATACCGTAAAAATAGAAATGTGTTTGTTTCAAAATTGTATATAATAAAGGACTTCTTAGAGGTTCTTTCAAGTTGAATAGAAAGGCATTGACCTACCTTTGTGGTCTAACTGTTATACAAGTTAAATTTTGTTCTCCAGTTATGAGTTACTGTATTTGACATTTTTTAGTTGTTATATAGTCAATAAACATCCCAAAAAGTTTAGATACATTTCAAACAAAAATCTACGGTTGGTCATGTTAAAACCACAAGCCTTATTGTATAAAATAACATTTTGTACAGGTTACTGCTTTTCTCTAAAATTATAGTCACACTAAAGAATCCCTAAGTTTTCTACACCTGAAAGAGTAATGCTCAGTCCAACTTCCAAAAATGGGAAGAGTATAATCCAACTGCAAACCCAACTGCAAACCAACCAGGCATCAATATTGACCTGCAGCTGGACAACTGTCAGTTATCCACTGTACAAACCTGACCCTTATGGAAGATTGGCTACTATAAAGCCATTCTTGAAAGAAACACAGATGAATTCCTGTTTGTACTTTGCCGTAAGCCATACAAGAGTTACACCAAGCACATGTAAGAAGGTTACTTTGGTCAGATCAAACCAAAACTGAATATAACCTCCATGCTGTATGGTAGAAAACAACCTTCTCTATTGGATAGTTTTGTAATTGTATGATAGTTGATTATACATGTTTTAAATTTTAGAATTGTATTTAACATTAAATTAAATCCAGTAATGAGTTCAGCACTGATGAAAATTCTGTTCCAGAATTTAACACCGCCTGACAAGCACATTTTGTTTTCGCACTCTTTTAATTTTCAGGCTTTGTTGCATTTCTTTGATTCTAGAGCTTCAGTTAGGCTTAGAAAATTATTAAAAAAGAAGCATTGCAAAATGATGATCTTAAGCCAAAAACATTCAGTGAAGGCTTGAGTCAAGTGGTTGTAAATTTGTGCATGTGGGTGGCAGGTTTGTTCTTCCCACAATGCTACTTGTAAATCTAAGTTGTGATTGTTTTGCTCAGTTTCATCAAAGAACATGGAAACTGTGAAAGCCTCATGGACAGTGGCCATACCATCTCTACCACTTGATGTTCATATTGCTGTTGTTTTTTTCCTCCTCTTATGCATGCATTGAAACTGCTGAACTAACAATTTCTCTCTGTGTCTCCCCACCATCATGTACCCTTTGTTTTTGGTCCAGGCTGAGAATGATCTCAACGAGCTGAGAGCACTGATGCATTCTCCCAACGCCATTGTGGTAAGCGCCCGCTTTGCCCAAACCCTGAACTGGGCTGATTGACGGTCAGTCAGCACACAGGCTCTGCTGGAGGTTCCAGAACTGTATCAGTAGAAACCGGGCATGTGTTGTGGCGCTTTAAAACTCTCAAATGTTCTGGATAAAGAGTTGAAAACAAACCACACACTGGATTTAAGGAAGGAATATGCTATTTTGCTGAATAATTTATTTTGGCTTATTTACGTTTATCTTTATTTCTTCAGTGTGTTATAACTTTGCCATTTTTTTATGAATCATGCTTCAAGCAAAGTGCAGCGCCTACTGTTTTTTTTAAGGTATTGCTTTAGTTTGCAATACTCTATGAAAGAGAGCAGAGGAAGCTTGTCTCTGACAACACAAATTACAAAGCAGTGCTATTAAAAATAATAGAATGGTTAAATTTAAAGAAAAATATTTTTTAGATAGAATCATATTCTGCCCTGTATCCCAGTGAAAATTAGCATTTGGGAGATGGGTCGCTGGTGGGTCGTGTACTTTTAGAAATGCTGCATGTGGGTGGATGCTGCCTTGAATTTATGTGTGGTTGTCTCAACTCTGCTTGTATCAGTTGTTGGGGTCATGCTGCATCCCTGAGATAAGACTCAAATTTAATACCAAAGACAACTCTGCTTGTACTGATCAGTAAACACATTTCTGTTACCCTCAGCGTGAAATAAAGAGACGCAGAGGGTTGATTTCAGGAGTGTAATTGAAAATAACAGTGGGAATATTGTGTGCGGGGTCGAAACCGGTGCTTTCACTATTTGAAAATGGTTGAATTATTGTGATGCATTTTTTTTCAATCTTTTAAAATTAAATTGAAGCTGTTCCTGAAATGGTAACTGAATGTGCTTTATTCTACCACCTGGATTTCCATTTTGATTTCAAAGTTCATGTTTAAAGTTGCTCCCTTTAAAGCAACAAAGCAACACTGGCAAAGAATTACATTAAGTTAGATAAGTAGTTGGAGAAAAATAGGACCAATAATAGCCATTACTTTCCCTCTTCTGAACAAAAAAATGATACTGTTCTGTTGTGCAGTCCAACATACTAATTATCCTCTTTATACTCTGACATCTCTGCCATTCTTCATACTTCTGTATTGGGTTCGTTAACCATTTATACAAAGAATAGAAGTGGGGGAGCTGATTAAGCTAGCCAATGCCAGATTTAACAATCTGATGAACTGATAAACGGAAAGTTGTATTTAGCATCCTATAAAACAATGCATTTATTGGTTGCAAGCTTAAAAAAATGAGCTCAGCCGACGTGCCAAAAATGAGCACCACGTGACAGAAATGCGCATTTGAATGTAATTTCTTTTAAAGAGGTTTTAAACATGCTTGAAAAAAGAATGGAGTTGCTATTTAGTGTGTGTTTCTACAATACAAGGCCATAATTTGAGCAATCATGCCTTTACTTTATTATATATGGTTTCTGTGTTCTTGCTATACCAGCCTAACCAGTCAGGGTTTGTAGTTGTTGAAAAATATTGTCTTGGTTGCTTTCTGAATTAGAGTTATACATTGTGAGACTTTGGACTGATATTAAATAGTATGAGTTTTATAACTATAAGATCATGTTCAGACCTGGTATTAAAATACACCCTGACTGATTCGGATAAAAGTAGATCCTACTTAGCACTGTCATGTACTCCTGTCCTGTGTGATCAGATTTCAGTATCTTCCTTTACACACAGATGAGCAGGTCGCCACATCACAGGGCTGGGCTGCCGACCGAGCCATAAACTGGACATCAGCAGGTCCTCTGATGTTTCCACATCATCTTAGAAACTTCCAGTCACACGAGCTGCATTATTAATCAGTTGTTAACATCGTTGAGGTTTAGATGAGTTGCATTTTGCTGCTTTAGTTTGGCTTCAAAATCTCTATAATTGTAAATGCATAGCTGAACAGATGTGTTATGGGAGAAGTAAAATGTAAGAGCTCAAAAAGGTCTATATTAGTGGGCGGACACTGAAGAATGTAAACTATAATTTATAATTGTTTGTGCAATTACAGTTGTTTATAATTGTTTGCACACTTTTACACTATTATGTAAAAGTGACAGTACATTTGTCAGATACAGATTTTGTTCCCATGAGTCATATTTTTTTTAAATTATTAACTTTTATGCAAGGTTTGCAGTGAGTGCAGTCAGCTAAAAAAAAATGTACAACGAACAAACATTCACCCATGCAGCATTCTGAAGTCTGTTGGTCTATTAAAAAGAACATATTTTGAGAGAAAAACTTATTTTTTTCCTCTATAAAGAAGATTCAATGAAATTTATTATCTCTGGTTATTAAAAATAACCCTCATGCTGAGTTTTCCAGAGGTCATGAGGTCATGTTTGTGGGTTCTCCTTCAATGTGTCCCAGGATGGTTGTGTTTAGTGACAAACCGATGGAGATGCATGTGTCCCAGAACGTCCCAGTTAGAATAGTGGGTGAATAGGCAATCTTAATAAAGGCACCTCAATAACAGCAAAGTCAGGCCATCAAGTACTTAAATTTTCCTTCATTTAGAGATTATAAAATGTATTAAAATGAAGCAGTCTTTGGTCAGACATGTCCATAGTTTAAATTTTTCTTAGTAAATCATGGAAAAAGAGAGGCATTTCGAGGTTTTTTTTTTTTTTGCTGCCTGGCTCTTTATAGACAGAATCATAACTTCAAACATGTAAACAGAATCTTAAAACAGCTTCTGCCTTCCACTGTGTGCTGCCTCAACAGGGAATCTTTTCAAAGTAGGGGAGCTTTATTCAACACAGCATGTGGGAGATGTGGTCATGCATCCTTAGACTGAAGCTGCCCTGCTGCTCCCTCCATACAGTTTCCAGTACAGTATCAGATAATAGAATATTCAACTCTTCATGAGGGTTTATACATATCATTTACTTTGAGTGTTTAACTGCAGCACACCTTTAAAACGCAGGGGGATATCACTTTTGGCTTAAAATTGATTAATTCCAACACTTTTTAGGTATTTCCAAGCCAAAGATAAAGATTTTGCTGATAAATTACAGATGTCAGTATAAAAACAGTTTGTAAAAGGACTATTATTTCCAATTTTGCTGTGAGAATGGTTCCTCTACTTTGAGGTACTTTAAAGTATTTTAGGGATGTATTTATTAATGCTTTCTTTAAGTGTTTTAATCGAATAAAACCAGGGTTTTACTTTTGCCAATTTTTTTATTGCTGTCTTCTTCTCCTCCTCAGCGTATGAAGTTCCTGCTGCTGCAACAGAAGTACCTAGAGTATCTGGAGGACGGCAAGGTCTTGGAGGCTCTGCAGGTTCTCCGGGGAGAGCTGACGCCACTCAAATACAACACGGATCGGATCCATGTCCTCAGCGGGTACTTTCTGACGTTTTACACAAAGTGTGAATCATGGCTCCACATATTTACTTTTCTCTCTGTAAAAATGCACAATATTGGCAGTTAAGTTCCTAAATGTTATTGAGGTTATAATATACTCTTTTTTTTTATTGCCAATGATTTTTTTATTATTATTATTATTCATCACAACATGGCTTATGGTACTTTGAATTTTGAAATATATTTGCAGAAGAAATAAACTATCATCAGCTGAGCTTTGATGAAAAAATAAAAAGCAGAGCTAGCCAACTAGATGAGTAGTTCAAACACTTAGCATTAACTTCAAAGAGAAGCTACGTAAAAAAACTGAACAGAGAAAAACCTCTGGTGGCTGCTTGGGCAGTGGCTTTGAAGGAAGCAAACAACTAAAGGCTGAAATTGTGGCAAAATATAAGATTAGATTAGGTCGAATTTGTAGTCAGTTGTTGTTGCAAGGAGTCTTAAAAGCTGCTATGAGATGTTAGCTTGGTGTTTCGGAGGAATTAGGGAACAAGCAGAGGAATTAAAAAGACATCAAAGGACCTCGCTGTTCTTTTATTTTCATTAGGTGAGTCAAGTAAACTAAGACCTGATTTGCTTTATTTGTATATTATGAGCTTGCTAGTTTTTAATACTGTTTGTATAAATGTAATTTTGGTTTTAAAGTTAAATAATTACTGTTTTAATCTGTTCCCTGCTGTGATGACTTTGGCGACAGTATCACTTTGCATTTTTAGGACTTTTTACTCTGTTTTGTATTTTGCCAATGCCAAATGTCCACCTTTCTTATAGGTTATTGGCATGTCTTGCTTGTTCTCTGAGTTTTTACTGTTACTTATTTTAAGTGTTGCTCAGGCAACATTGATGTTGCCAAGAATGGGCCAGTCGTGTATTTTTACTGGGATGTAGCAGAAAGCCTCATCTGGGACATTTTTGGAATCAACTTTAAATCACAACAAATGTCTCTAAGGGCTGCGGTTGGTTCTGGCAGCGACAGCATAACTGACCCATGTGTATTCATTGGCTGAGGGCATCGTCAGTACCTTCTCATGATTTCAAGAAAATAAGCAGTGCTCATGTTAAAGAATGTTGTAAAACAAACTACACGAGTCTCTATGACAGTACAGTCAGTAAGTGATATTTAAAAGTATGCTTTTTTCAGAAACCTGAGTTACCCTGTAATACGCCTGTTAGCAGTACGCTGCTCTTAAGTCAACAAGTTGCTACTACTCCAATTAATACAGTGAATAATATAGTTATAACAATAAACGCAGCTCTTGATATGAGACTATACATAATATTGTGTCTTCAAGATTGACATGCAGTGCATAGGGCACCGAATGATCAGGCTCAGTAATTATAATGACATATTAAAAAATGTTTGAAGCAAGGCACAATTCATGCAAAGATAATATTTGGTCGAGGAAAAAAAAAAGATGCCTCAGTCTCAGGTCTAGCAGACAGTTTGAATATGCCCTCAAAAGGCATCAAGAAATGTGGGTGGAAAAGAGAAAAGCAACAAACAAAGACATGATAATCGCGTGTGGTATTGAGTCTCGCTTCACCTCCTGTCCACCTTACTTCTTTTTCTGTGTTGTTCATAGCTCAGGGCGCCCAAATGGCCAGCGCTACCCCGGTCATGACTGACTATTAAATTAGATTTGTCCAGGCATTTTCATTTACTGTACATTAAAATATTGTTTTAATTATGAAATAATCAGTTTACGCATGTTTTTGATGGACTTCAAAAACATGCTATCTGGGCATTTTTGGTAAGCTTTTCCTTATCATTTGCTGCCTGGCTCCAGACAACAATGATATAAACATAATACATGGGCACATTGTGCAAACAGAATAATTGTCGTTTCGATTTACTCTGATCAGTCCTGTAGGTTAAGTGAGATATTGTACAAGAAATGTTGCAGCTAATAAATTTTTGGTTGTGTGATGAATCATGTTAGTTTTTTTTTGTTTTGTTTTGTTTTTTTTACCAACAGTGAGTCTTGTTTTCCCTAAACCTTGACCTTGTATTTTCTTGCAGGTACCTAATGTGTAGCCACGCCGACGACCTCCGAGCCAAGGCAGAGTGGGAGGGCAAGGGCACAGCCTCTCGCTCCAGGCTCCTGGATAAATTACAGAGTGAGGAGATGTTTTCCATTTAATAAGCCTGTGGAGCTGGCACATGTTACCCAGCTTCCACATGTACATTTGATGTGCTGAGGTGAACTATCTTCCCACTTTCTGACCATTTTACAGCGTACCTGCCCCCATCCGTGATGCTGCCTCCTCGGCGACTACACACTTTGCTGCGGCAAGCGGTGGAACTACAGAGGGATCGCTGTCTTTATCACAACACCAAGCTGGACAACAACCTGGATTCAGTCTCCCTTCTCCTCGATCATGTCTGCAGCAGGTTGGTGCTGCAGCGTCGGTCATAAAGTGAAATTGTTGATGAAAGTGCATCATAGGTCTGAGAAGTGTACACAACCTTGTTAAAATGGTGAGTTTGTGATGTTAAAAAAAAATGGTTTGAAGAGGGTTGGACACAAGTGGGAAGCGTGATGTTCGTTTTCTCCTCATTACTGCCTGTTGAGGCTGTCAACACATTCAACTGAGTTTTAATATATTCAGTCAACGGAAAAAAATTCTACTTCAGTCACAAATGGTGAGATAAATTTTAAGCCGTCACATCTAAAACAGTAAGTAGTCTTGAAGATTTTTTTAAACAACAATTAGTTGAATATTACCGCTTCTTACCGCTGTGCTCTTTCTATAGTAACAGTCATATAACTTGATTAACAGCTAGTTAATTAGTGCGGGTGTCATTCGATAATTTTCAATGGACAATAAATAGTCTTAGAAATGATTGCGATAAACAATAATGTTGTTTTGAGACTATTTTCCAAGTTGATAATGGCATAACAACAAACACTTGCTCTCTTAATGACCAATAAACTTTAATTTTATGAAGAACACTTAGAAATGGAAGATATTTTAAATATCCCAAATAAAACAAAACAACCAAAAACAATAAATTAAAATAAAAACCACACACAACCAAACCCATAATTAAAATGGATTATGGTGTTTCTTTGGACGAAATGAACCGGAACGGAAATGATTAAGTTCATTTTAATTTATCATGCGATTAATTGCTTTATTGTGACAGGCGTAGGCTGCTTTTACATAAGAAGCAATGTGTTTTTTGTCAAAGTTGATGAAGGGACTAATAGTCCCAAAAAGCATTCAGCTCCAAAGCAAGGGTTTTTATTTTATCAGCATAACAGTGAACTGAAAATTACAAGTGTTTTTGCTTCAAGTCGTAAAGCATTTGTGTGTTCCTTTGTTCCTATTTTTATTATAATTTAAGTTATTTAAATGTTGTTTATATGTCTCCCCTCCTTTCTTTAGTTAATGTACTTTCATATTCAGTAATTATGTGCATTATGTACTTTTATGTTTAGAAAAACATAAAATTTCTTGATCAGAGAACATGTATTGTTTGAAGTGACCTAGCTTGTCCTCACAATCTCATAGGTTTGGAGAACTTTTTATCAAACAGAGTTGTCAAAACCTGAAAACTAAAACTGTGCTTTAATAAAATTTACTCAAGGATTGATAAAATGTAATGTTCCTCCCTCCATGTTTGCATTTTTTTAGCTGAATTATGCCGGACGAACGTCACGTGGACACTTTTGTATTCTCAAATTTCTGTTCTCTCTGTACATCTGAAAATGCCATAAATATTACATTTTGAGGGCCAGTTTGTATCCTGTTGATGAATTTTCAAAATGTATTCACCAGTATACAGACTTTAAAATAAATCTTGTCTGTTTTCTTTCTGCAGGAAACAGTTTCCCTGTTACACCCAGCAGATTCTGACAGAGCATTGTAACGAAGTGTGGTTCTGCAAATTCTCAAATGATGGCACCAAACTAGCAACTGGCTCCAAAGACACGACTGTCATAATCTGGCAAGTGGACCCGGTGAGTGTGCAAACATACACGCCTTATTGTAGTAGTTACAGTCTCTTTTTAGGGCTAAACTAGAAAAATATATACTTTCACATTATCAAGAGACAGTCTGTGCTCATCTATTCAAATATAACGAGTGAAATTCAAAGTGTGCTGTAGCAACACAATTTATTTTTGCAGAAGCAAATGTGACTTAAGACAGAAAATAGCAAGAAAGCAGACCTTTATCCCTAACGTGTTAAGAAACAAAGGAGATATTAGAATTTTTGTTTGCTGAGTGGCTGAGATAAATAATCTGATTGGTTGAATTTAAGCTGTCTCTGTACAACAAGATCCTCCTCAAATGGAAATGGAGAGAAGATCAAACATTTACTGAATGAGAACTCAATTCAATGACATGGATTGAAATTAGCACAGAGATTATGAAAAACAAAATAGGTCCTTTAATAGAACCGGTTAAGAATTTGCTCAAGATTAAAGCACTGGAACTGCTGTAATGTCCTGTCTTCAAACATTCAGCTGAAAATCTATTTGAAACACCTGGGATTGGCAACCTGGATCTAGTTCTCCTTATATCCTCTCAAGTGTTTTGTCTTGCTACTGTCTTGCATGAGATTAATCAAGTTTAACAGAGTTTCTCCCTAAACCAGTAGAGAGAAGAATCACTCGCTTTTCTATAACAATTACGTAAAAGCTCTAAAAATGCTCAAAAGGGTAGTCAGATGAAAGGTAAAGCTGAATAAAGCTAAAAATGCCATTCTAAAGTCTCTTATTGCACCTGCCATGTAGGAGAGCCACCAACTGAAACTGCTGCGAACCCTGGAGGGGCACGCATACGGCGTCTCCTACTTAGCCTGGAGTCCTGATGACACCTACCTGATCGCCTGTGGACCTGACGATTGCTCTGAGCTCTGGCTCTGGAATGTTCAGGTAAAATAAAAAGAAAGAAGAAAAGAAAATGAAAAAGTATCCTTAAATATTCTTTTCAACACCATTCAGACAAGAAGTTGGGCCTTTGTTGGCACATACCTCAATTAATGAGCTAGCCATACAGAGATATTTTCTTCTACAGAGTTATAAGATGCTTCAGCTGTCAGAATTCATTTATATACTATTGTTTTTATTGAGGATACTCTGATGTCATGCATTGTATTACAGTTTCTGTGTCATTCAGCTTGACACGCAGTAAGTGTGTCTCCTCATAGCCATCCTTGGTATGACGCGGTTATCTAAGCACCATTAATCGTATCCCAAGTCTGAAAAGTGCTATGGATACCCTGTAGTGTGCTATTTGTACTCAATGACCTTTTCTTTTCACCCATCCTCTCTTCTCCCCTCCCCTCGCTCTTTTTTTTTTCTTACTCATCCCTCCCCCACTCTTGCTCAATGTGTCTTCTCGCTCTCCTTTCCCCCATTTCCTTCTCTGTGTTTCTCTATAAATACCCACCTTTGCCAGACGGGGGAGCTGCGGACCAAAATGTCCCAGTCCCACGAAGACAGTCTTACCAGTGTGGCCTGGAATCCTGACGGCAAACGCTTTGTCACCGGTGGACAAAGGGGGCAGTTTTATCAGTGTGTAAGTCCTCCACTTATTTACCCATTTTTACAAACACAGTTCTTTGGATTTTTTTCATTTTGCCACAATCACAAATATTGTAGTGTTTTGTTTGGATGTCATTTGATCCACAAACACAAAGTAGTGCATAATTGTGAAGTGGAAGGATATTATGACACATAGACCTGGAGCGTGGTGCTTGTTTGCATTTAGTCCTGATTAAAAACTTTATAAAGCTACCTTTTGCTGCAATTTCAGCTGTAAGTCTTTTAGAGTTTCTTGATGAGTTTTATATACTTCTGCATTCGAACTTGTGCTTATTCTTCTTCTGATGTTTGACTGGATCAGTCTGATGTTTTGATTTAAACATTATAAACCAGGGCTGTTGTAACAGAATATTTTAGTAATCGAGTACTCTATAAAATATTTTTACAATTATTCAAGGAATCTGATCTCTCCCCCTGTCTCTCTCTCACTCTTTTTTTCTTCCTCCCTCTCTCAGCACCATTCCTACCATTTACTCCAAAAGCTGTCGTAGTCTCACCATTGCGCCACAAATTCAACGCTCCTTATTTGTGTCCCCCAAGCCCTGACAAAACGCAGCACAATTCAACACCTTGCTGTTTCCATTTTACAACAACTCATAGGCGGAAGTAAGAGGGCTGCCCATCACAAATAATAATCCGGCCAGAATGTGATGCGCTATATAATTTAACAAAGCTTCGAGGCAGATCCATTTTCCTCGAGGAATTTTAATAATTGAGGTACTCTAATCATTCCAGGAATCATTTCAGGCCTATTATAGACCAATATTTCACAAACTTAATTTTAGCTCTGGCTAGATGTTTACGTGACCTCCTGGAAGGTCACCTTCAACCCCACTCGTACGGTAAATTTCTTCTTCCCAGTCTTCCATATTAGCCAGGCCAATAATTATTGAGTTGAATGATTTTTCCATCTGAATCCCTGCAGCTGCCCCAAAGTAACTGTAGACCTTCTGGTTGATTTTGTGAATAATGTTCTCATAATGCTTTGAACTTTTTTTGTAGTTTCATGCCTGATCGTTCTGCTATTTCTTTTAATATTAACAGAGTAAATGTGGTTGAAAGCCAATGTACAACATACTTTCTGATTTTTTTAAAGAAAAAAGAATGATAATGAAAAAAAGCATCTATGCTCCTTTCATGCCACAATTGTGCTGGACGTTGTTATATAAATTCCCATTGTGGTTTTAACAAAACACCCTATAAGCATAATGACTAGTTTGCAAGGCACTGTAAGCCCGAGAGTCTTTGTATTTGGCTGCTGCTTGATGTAGGTGGTTGTGATTAGACAGTCTTAGATTTGGCTTGGAGCTAAAAGCTAAACAGGGTACCCTGCTACCCGTGTGTGTGTTTGCTCATCTTCCTGTTAAGAATGAGGGCTTAGGGTTCTGCTGTTTGTATTGTCAGGACCTGGACGGGAACTTGTTGGACTCGTGGGAAGGGGTGAGAGTTCAGTGCCTGTGGTGCTTGAGCGATGGGAAGACTGTGCTGGCCTCGGACACCCATCAGCGTATCAGAGGGTACAATTTTGAGGACCTCACAGACAGAAACATGTATGTATATTTTGAAATGAAAATGAAAGCTGTGACTTAAATGTAATTCATTTTAATAGCAGATGGATAATTTATTTTCACATGTTTTTTACAGAGTTCAAGAGGACCACCCTATCATGTCTTTTACCGTTTCAAAGAACGGTAGATTAGCTTTGTTAAATGTAGCAACTCAGGTAAGCTAATCAGTTCTATCGAGTTGCTTATAAACAAATAAATATATTGGAGAAATATAATAGATTTGGGCATTGATGAAGTATTTTTAAATTAAATAAAATGTTGAATTGAAACTGGTTTCAACATGCTTCACAATAGGGAGTGCACCTGTGGGATCTTCAAGATCGGGTGCTTGTGAGGAAGTACCAAGGTGTGACCCAGGGCTTCTACACCATCCACTCCTGCTTCGGAGGACACAATGAAGACTTCATCGCCAGTGGCAGCGAAGGTACAGTGAAAAGGCAGCTATTGACAAAAAACAGTTTACAGTATAACTAAAGTTGGTTACCTAATGTGGGAAAGCATCTCCTACCATCTCCTAAACGATGCTCAAAGATTTGTTTTTGTTTTTTTCTGTGAAACATGGTAGCGGCAGCATCATGGTGTGGGGATGTCTCTCTTCAGCAGGGAGAGGAAAGCTGGTTTAAATTGTAAGAAAGATAAATGAAGCATAATCCTGGACGAAAACCTGTTAAGAAAAGATTATTAATTCAGAATGAGACAATGACCACCAGAGCTCTAATGGGCTGATTTTGGTCAAGGTGTATTCTGTTATGGAGAAAAAATCAGTCTTTTTAATGACTCAAAGATTTGTAAAAAACATAAAAAATAAGAAAAATAATTTTTCTTCAACTTCATAAATATTTACTACTGTGATTTGAGTAGATTCATCACAAATAACTAGAATTTCTAAAATTCAATTTCTGTTCAAATGCAGTTCATAATGTGGTGGTTAAAATTTGACAAAATGCAAAGGATTCTTTTGAGAAATTGCTGGAAGACTTCAGATTTGAGGATGATATATAACCTTTTGTTTCTTTGGTTATCGTTGCTGTGAGCGGTAGTATTTCTTTCCCTGTTCTAGAGATATTTTCTTCCATCCATTAACTATCTTTTCCATCAATCCCACCAGACCATAAAGTGTATATCTGGCATAGGCGTGGCGAACTTCCTATTGCCGAGCTCACAGGCCATACACGCACCGTTAACTGTGTGAGCTGGAACCCAGCCATCCCGGGTCTCATGGCGTCCGCCTCAGATGACGGTACAGTGCGCATCTGGGGTCCCGCACCATTTCTCGATTCGCAAGAGGCAGACGGACTCAACGGTAAGTAATTTACGTTCAAACATGGGCTGTTCTCACAACCTGTAATAACAAGTTACATGTTTGCTTGCTTTTTGTCTCCTCAGAAAACAGCAGTAACATGGACAGTTGATGGTGACCTACAGAGCAGATGACGTCTCAATTTGACAACAACCCAAGAATCCTACAATATAACAAAACGTAAATGGGCAAATACAATTTGATATCACCAGAGAGAAAGTGAAGGAAAATTCAGCAAATGTCACCGACCCATCTGAGAAAACAAAAGTGAGAAAAATATGGCTCCAGACCGGCCTAGACAAATGGTGGACATGATGACGGACTCCCTGGAATTTTGGGTCCGCATCCAAAAAAAAATTTGGATCCCTTTCTAAAGACCTGGAAAGTCAGTCAGAACTCAGCGGGATCTTCCTCTGATGAACTCTAACAGCTGTTCTCCTCACTTCTAACTGACCCCCCCTCGTCCTCCATTTTGCTCCAGTGTCAGTAGACATGCCAGCTCTTTGCAAGTATCTGAGGAAATCCACGTCCACCCTGAGCCTGGGGCCTGCTGCATCCTCGCGATGCCTCCAGACGGACGGGACTGACGAGCCCTCTCCTTGCCGGACTACATCCGTCTGCCCGTTTGTCTCAGACTCTCTAATGTCTCTATGGACATGGGTGGGGAACTTGTTGTTGAGAGAGGGGGATAGTGCGTGTGGGGTGGGGAAGGGCTATAGTAGGTCATCTGTGTGTTTTCCTTTTCCCCTTTTTACTTGCTAAATTCTTCAGTCATTTGGACAAAAGCTGAAAATTCACGGTGAAACCATCAACAGACCAGCTGATAAAGAACACCGATAGGCTGTACTAACTGTTTGAAGATTTTTTTTTTTTTTTTTTAAATGATAGTCATAGCGTTCATTCTTGTTTAAGAGGCGAACCCTAGCTCATGTAGTCCCCAAGGAAAACTTCAGCGTGAAGATTCCACATTCTGTTTCTCAGCATTAGGGGGGGGAAAAAAACTTTTTATCCCCTTATTTAACATCCATCACGGACAGCTCCCCCTTTCACTCCCTCCTGGTCGAGCTAGCCTGTGCACAACTCCGTTAAATCTACCTACGAGGAGGACAGAGTGATCCACAGGTTACATATCCACTGTGAGGGGGTCACACACTGGTGGCGAGGTGTGCTTTCCACCATCAAGACACGCATATATATAGATATGTATAAACACACAAACACACACAGATATATATATATATATATATATATATATATAACTTTATATATATATATATATATATATATATATATATATATAAACTGAAACCTCTCTCAGAAAGAGAAGCGTTCAGACATGGAGTGCAACTTCATTTGCACGCTTAGTGACTGCTGTCCCTCCTGTGTGAGAGTGGATGAGTGTGAGTGTGAGTAATAGTGACAAGAGTGTTTTTTTGCATGCACACAGTAGAGCGAGAGTGGACATTATTGGGTGCAAATTTAATTGGCGTGTGTTTTCTTTTGTTTTTTTTTTTTTTTTTGTATGTGTGCAACTCACACCAGCAGAAGATTCTCTCCCCTCATCGCCTTGTTTTCATAGTAAAATTGTTCAAGATTTTAAACAGATTCTGAGTTATCCAAAGCCCCATAGGGACCTCTCTAGCTGTGGAACAAAAAAAACAAACAAACAAACAAGAGAGCCATTTTGTAAAAAAGAAAAAAGAAAAAAAAAAAGAAAAGAAACATTTTTTTTTTTAACATGGGGCTTTCATTTTTACATTAGAATGTGTTTAGTCCTCAACGATGCAGCATTCAAATGGCACTGATATGTTGACATAAGATTCGTTGGGTGAAGCAAAGCAAGATACAAAAAACAACAAAAACAAAAAAACGCTATTTAAGTGAGACACCAGAAAGAGGCTGAAAGTTGTAAAGGCATGGGCCGGTACGAGATTCTGTGAAAAATGAAAATATATCACGACTTCAGGGTATCAAAATATTTCCTGAAAACTTTCAAACAAAAATGCAGAAACATGCTCAAGGTTTCTCCCCCCCCACTTTAAAACAAAATACCAACAATTATTCTCACTGCCACAAAAATATGATCACAAATCGATTATTGCCGTTATAGTAGTGTATTTATTATTTATTTATCATTCCAATTATGATAAATAGACTTGGAATAAAAATATGAAACACCCACCAAGTTTTATTATTGCACAATAACTTGACACCTTTCTATTTGGACTATCCGTGCTGGTTCCTAGCCTGCAGTCGTCTGCTTGACGGCATTCCAGCTGTAGTTTTAAAACAGCATTACTTTAGAAGAGTGATTTCTGGAGTTACTTAAGTCCCCAAAGTAAGGCGCTGGTAAACTTTTTACCACGAAACCGGCCCATGCCCAGTTATCAGCGAAGGGTTATTTCATTGGAGAGAAGTTGGTGATTGGAATTATTCGACAAGTTTATAAAAAGAAGAGGCATCAATAGTTAAAACAACGCTCTGAGCGCATTAGTTTGGGACTTTTGCAATCCTGAATCAAAGCAACACAAACTGCCTTCCTGTTCCCACAGTTGCACAGATCCCCCCGCCCCCTCGGTATGTATGACTCCCTCACGGCACTTTGAGTGGTCTTTCTGCTCTCCTGCACATAAAGCGGTGGCATTAATCTTTAGTTGGTTTCCACCCAAAAGGTTACATTGGTAAAGATTTAAAAACCTAATAGGAGATTTCAAGAGGACCTGAGTCCTCACCATGCCTCTATGCACCCGATGTGAGTGATTGGCCCAAATGTGATGAAACTCAGCATTATAAGGCAAAGCAACCTCGTCTTGAAGGTACCCCTCTGGGAGTTTAAAGAGTGTTAGGCATCAACCTCCCCTTTGCTCTCCAGCCAAGTTATTCAGTGGTCTTTGCACCATTTAAAGCTTTCTTCCTCCCTTATTTCAGGGTATGTAATGACAATTCGCTACAGACTGATATAGTAAAATGTTTAAACCAGTGCTTTTGTCTGTTTTTATTGAACTATTTTTTGTTACTTAATTTTTTTTTTTTTTTTTTTTTTGGTCACGTATATCATTTTTGGTTGATCTCTATCCCTGTATGATCATATTAAAATATAACCAGACATTTGGAGTCCTTCTATTTTTTTGTAACATAACTTCTCTTTCTTTTATGTGTATTTTTGTTTGTATTCGGTTGCATTTTTATCTACCACCACAGTCAAAAAAAATTATGCACAGCAACACTCTTTGCCAGTAGAAGCAGGGGAGGAGTCATGGTGTGTTTAAGTGTTATCGAATCAGGTTTTAACTATCCACCCATCGCCTTTAAAGAAATTACTCCCTGTGAAGATTCTGCTTAATCGCATCTCTCTGTGTTTTGATATCTTCTGCTCGGTGTGCCATTGTAGATAGGCAGTTGCTACTTTTCCGACCTGTATTGAAGCCAAATCCCAGGCACACAGTTGTTTTCTTGTAGGTTATGTACGTCACAGACTGATATGCACACTCTAGCAACCTCTTCTCTCCCAAAACCACAGAATGGACTCCTCTTCCCATTCCCTGAATCCATTTCAGAAGACTTGATGGAAATCAATGCACATTTTTTAAACCCCCTCTCCGCCCAAAAAAAGTAATTCAGTAAAGAAAAAAAAAAACATCCTTCACCTGCTGGTGGCAAAATGCTATGTCTGTATGCAACCCGGTGTCTCCTCTGTTCTTCTGTCGGAGTTTGCCGAGGGAGTTGTTTCTGATTTAACTATGTCTTATTTCTCTGAGGTGATGGTGGTGGCGGGAAGGGACAGGGGCGGGGAATAAGGGCTTACTGTAGCATCTCTAAGTTCCTTGGGCTCTAGGGTGGGGAAGGGGGTGATGTGTTGGTTTGCGTTCAATGTCTTATTTACAACAGTGATTGTAATGTTTTGTATTGTTGTGTAGGAAAAGTGTTATGTATGCATATTTTCAATAAAGAATTCAGGGTTTTGAAAAAACAGATCTAAAATAATTTAATGGCACAGGGCCCAGGTTTTGGACACTTACAAGATGATGGGAAAACAAACCTTTTTTGAGCTTAAAACATGCGTGCATGTTGGGGGTGAAAGCTTATCACTAAATTAAGGCCCCAGTGATGCATTCTGGGTTGATTCTGTTCTTGTTTAGATTACTGTATTAAATTATTTGATTTTTGACATGTCTTGAAAGCTACATGGAGTCTAACAGAGAGGGGGCTTGCTTTGACACCAGCATTAGGACTAACAAAATCTGTTGACAATAAATTCCACTTATTTTTAAGTAAGTCTTGTTGTTGGCCATCCATTTTAATATAGAGTTTGCCATTTCAGGGAGAGAGGAGAAACGTGAAAATAGTTTGTGTGACTATTAAATATGTAGAAAGTAAATATGTGTAGTCAGATTCACTACTGCTCATAATCGAGGATGGAAGCTTTTGTGGTTAAATAAATGGAAGATCCAAAGTGAAACAATATGAACCTAAATCAGAATTTGTTTTAAATGACAAAAGCTTTGCCCAACAAGCAAACTTCTCTTATAATGACTTATAAAAATAAGTTGACCTTTGAAAATGTATTGAAATTGTATATCATTTTTTTATTATTTCTAGATTGTTTTTCCCAAAGACTAATTTTATAACAGGATAATGCTGTTATAAAATGTAAACAAAAAATCTCTTTTTTGAAGTATTTGTCAAATTGCGCCATCTGGTGGTATTGCGAACAACAAGGTGGCCTATAAAAACGAAAAAGAAATTTGAAACCTAAGGTACAATAAACAATAAATGAGTTATCAGAAATATAAATAGTTTGAGGTATTCGGGATGGGTATGCAGACTTTGTTTAGGAAGTAAATATTAATGTTACTGCAGATTAAATCGAAATAAACAAGCATGTAATACTAATTACATAGCATGAAATAGATTAGTTGGTCCAAAGCTTAATATTGTTTAAGTGATACATAATTTGATTGTGGCTATTATGATATTGGCATGATTTTAAAATGTATTAAAGGGAAAGATGAGAAAACTGATATGTAATATGTTTGCTGAGATTCTGAGTTGTGTAGTCACATTTCTAGGTGGATTATGTGAGAAGCCTCTAGCTCACCAGGCTAGATTTCTAACTTTAGAAATCATTCCAGTTTATCTTTTTTCAAACTAAAACTCAAAATGCTGACTTACGAGTTCAAAGGAATGCACCAAAAGGACTAAGACTGTATTAGTTTTAATGTAATTTTTATTACAATTTTATGCTACTAGAGCCAACCAATGGAATTCATTGGTTGTTACTCCTAAGAACTTTAACCCTGTAAGGAAGAAAAAAAACATATTTAGAAGTGTTTGAGGCCTTTCTGTCTCCATCAAACATTTTACTTTTAACAATCTGCAACTTCAAATGAGATAAACTAAAAGATGAATCCTACTATATTGTAGGATTCTTGGGTTGTTGACAAATAGATGACTGAATGTTTTCATGGAATATATAGTGTTGGGATATTTACATGAAAAAGAAATATGTTTTGTACCTTACTATTGATTTTAAAGCAGTATCTCTTACTTACATAATATATTCACAGAAAATGTTTTGTGAAAATATGTGCATCAGTTGGGATACTTTCGGTATACAGGTATTACTGTCAATGTAGCAGTATTATTAGGACATTCATAATTGAATTCTATGATTATATTCACTATATACCAATGTAATGCATTTTAAATGTATCTCATTGTGTCATTAATATAAATGTACAATGTATCTTTTTTCAGTTGGGAATGCATAATAATTTATAATCACATGGTATTTGTATCAGTTATTTACAAAACTTAAAAAAAAAAAACATTTTTGGTTGGGTCTTAGCCCCCAAGTTTTAAAGTCTTAACATCGCCTCTGAAGGTTTGGTTTGTTTCGCTGGCAAATGGGAGGAGCTGTACGCTGACGTCATTATACCCCGCCCCCACTGTCTGGTGCCAACGAAAACAGCAGAGCGCCAGGGAGAACTCGGAGAGACCGAGCGCACAGACAGGTTCACCGGGCAGCCATGGCGGCGCCGTTAGCCCACTTCGATGAGGACTGGCAGGACTTCAACGAATTCAAGCCGTCCTCGGAGTCGGCCGAACAGCTGGACCAGATGAACTCAAACGTGGGCGACCCATCGGGCCTCGACGACTTCTCGGATCTGGACAACAGTTTCTCCGGGGAGATCTGTAGCTTCAAGTCGATGGAGGACCTGG